CTTTCTCTTGATTGGAATCATGGAACTATAGAATCTCTAGATTAAAAATAACCTTAAAGCTGTATAACTCAAACACAGTCAATACTTAAATCCCCTCCAGCCACTTCTCGTCAAGTCAGCCTTCTATGGGTACCTCAACAATGACCATAAGGAAGGATAGACATTTTGGCACTCTTCTCTAATCTATATCATAAAAAGAAACCACTCAAAACTGCTAGATGCCATCTGCAATCGAGGTTTTTCTTTTTAACAAGTGAAGGCCAACAGATTAAGTGGGAAGCTCTGGGTTCAGCTAGAAATGTTAATTTAAACAAATATAGAATCACTGTTAATTGTGGTTTGGCTCAAGTCAAAAAGGTTAAAGAAGCTCATCTCTCCACTAAGAACCAAACAATGCACATAGCTATATTGTGGAGTATGGTTCAGGTCTCCATCTTTGTAGAAATAACAACCTTTTACATTAAAGCATTTGACCTCTTACCGCCAATTGATACTCAGAATTTATCCTAGGTAGGAATTCTCCATCACATTTTGTGGATTCTATGACTAGAAAAAGTTCTTAGCTGGGTGCAGTGGCTCACGCCTATAATTAATGTAGTTTTTAATAACTTTAAAATGCTCTTCCAGCTTTAGTTCCACTAAGTTATGGGAATGGTCTCTGAATCATATATTTATAAGGAACAAGCTGTATTCAGGAATAATTATGCCATTCTTTGTCACAGAGATAACTATTTCTTTGTACAAAGGAAACCAGTTAAGACCACCTTGGGGTTAGTTGTACTGTTCATCATTTAGCCAATAAATTTTCAGTGTTGGAGATTTATGGATCCCAATGAGATATAGCTTTACTCACTTATTTTATTTTTGATACAGGATCTCACTCTGTCACACAGGCTACAGTAGGTGGTGCAATTATGGCTTGCTGTAGCCTCAGTTAGCTGGGCCCAAGTAACCTGCCCACCTCAGCCTCCTGAGTACCTGGGCTACAGGCACACCACAGTGCCAAGCTCATTTTTAAATTTTGTTTAGGTCTCACTATGTTGCCCAACCTGGTCTTGAACTCCTGAAATCAAGCAATCCTCTCACCTTAGCCTCCCAAAGTGCTGGGATTATAGGCATGAGCTACATCACCTGCCAGCTTTATTAGCTAACTCTATCTAATAATGACGGAGCCATTCTATACACTCAACACTGATGAGACCCAAAGAACCCCAACTACCTCACTGACACGTCATGTAATTGTTGTCAGTTTACTCTTGTTCTTGCAGTCTGAACTTCCAAACAACCATCAAATCCATCTAAGTCTACAATTCTCATTCCATTCTTCTAAAATAATTCCTATTTTTCAAACAGTTCCACCATTCCACCCCTTCCCCCAAGTGCTCATCAGAGATAAAGAGACCCTACAACACATCCCCTGGACACTGTCTTCAGTTCTAATGTGTCTTCCCAATCTCATGGTCACTCTGAGGAGCTAGAACCTCTGGCCAGATTACCTTAAGTGCTGGAAGATCTTTGGAGAGTATGCAAAACCTATTCAATGGATTCCATGCCGCAGAATCACCTAGGTCTTCATGGAAATCATTGAATAGATTCCTGGGCTTTTCCTCAATCTGTATATTCAGAATCTAGTAGGAGGAGGAGCTCAGGATCTGTATTTTTAACAAGCTCTCCAAGTGATTCTTTTTTTTTTTTTTTTTTTTTTTTTTTTTTTTTTTTTTTTTTTTTTTTGAGACAGAGTTTCACTCTTGTTACCCAGGCTGGAGTGCAATGGTGCGATCTCGGCTCACCACATCCCCCGCCTCCTGGGTTCAGGCAATTCTCCTGCCTCAGCCTCCTGAGTAGCTGGGATTACAGGCACACGCCACCATGCCCAGCTGATTTTTTGTAGTTTTAGTAGAGACGGGGTTTCACCATGTTGACCAGGATGGTCTCGATCTCTTGACCTTGTGATCCACCCGCCTCGGCCTCCCAAAGTGCTGGGATTACAGGCGTGAGCCACCGCACCCAGCCCAAGTGATTCTTTAGCATATTAAAGTTTGAGAACTACTAGCCCAAACGCTATGCATATTTGTCTCAAAGTCAGTGGGGAAACAGAAATAGTAGAGGGTGAAGCAAATATAATAATGTATTTTAAAATAAAATAGAAATTTGATTTTTTAGCATCAATCTTCCTCAAGTAAAACTCTTCAATCAGAAATATTTAGAATCTCATGTTGTCAAGAGTTCTGCTGAGATTGAATTTTAGGCAATCCAAATTGGGAAAGAATGTTCTTGGATCATCTTTCCAGGGATAACTTAAAGGAAAAAAATATTTAGGTAAATGTATTTATCACTACAACTTTATAATGTTAAATAGGAGATACTGGATCAAAGTCCACAATGAAAATTATTTTCTGAAAAATGTAGCCCATAGTTAAAAAATAAAACCTCAATTAGCACAACTGTCCCATCTGTGGAATTTGACTCAGTCAAGTTTACTCCACTTTTATCCTTCCTTGTAATTTTCTGCTGAGTTTCTCCTGACAGGTTTTTTTGTGTTCACTTAGGTTGCCTCTCATATCACTTCTAAACCTATATTATGTTTGAAAAATGCTTCAAAATAACTTATTTCTGAGCCCTTCTCTCTTCCTACTTCAATCCCTACTCTCCCCTCTTCTGTATATAAATGGAAAATAGAAAGCTCACAAATTATCTCCCTACAAAGAACTAAATTGCTATGCTCAGTCTTAGCTGAGATAAGCTAGGTTCAGCCAATCTTAGTAGCCCAGTAACACAGCAATTTTGGAAACAGGTTATCTCTCGTCCCCAAAAGCAGGCTCTTTCTCTGACCTTGAGGTTGTTCTAGGTAACACTTCACAATAACCAAGTATCCAAACCTAAAATGTGATTATAACATCATCTGACTCGAGACCAGCCTTTGTAAAAAGGCTTCAAGTTGCTTTGTATTTTGCCTTATTTTCTGTGCAGCCACCAGATAATGAAATTTGGTCAATATAAGAAAGAACTAAATATTCTGATTTTATTTAACCTTCAAGAGATCAAGAAGCCAACTACCTATAAGAAGATTCCTCCCATCGCATTAGTGGTATCACCTTCTCTGATGGCTACCTAAACAGACCACATATTAATTTACAAACTAATTCCTCAGATTTATAATCTTCAGATTATTACAGTCTCTAAATACCCATAACTTGACAAAATAAATCAAAAACATTTAGAACCCCATGTTGTCAAAGGATCTGCCAAGATTTAATTTTAGGCAATCTGAATTGGGAAAGAATGTTCTATGGATCATTTTTCCAGGGATAATTTAAAGGAAAAGAAATATTTGGCTACAATTATTTGTCACTACAATTTTATAATGTTAAACAGGAGGCTTTGGGTCAAAGACTACAATGAAAATTATTTTCTGAAAAATGTAGCCCATAGTTAAAAAATAAAACCTCAGAGACAGTTAAAAGAATGCCTTCCCAGCTGGGCACCGTGGCTCATGCCTGTAATCCCAGCACTTTGAGAGGCCGAGATGGGAGGATCTTCTGAGGTCAGGAGTTCGAGGCCAGCCTGGCCAACATGGTGAAACCCCGTCTCTACTAAAAATACAAAAATTAGCCAGGCATAGTGGTGTGCACCTGTAATCCCAGCTACCCAGGAGGCTGAGGCAGGAGAATCGCTGGAACCTGGGAGGAAGAGGCTGCAGTGAGTTGAGGTCATACTACTGCACTCCAGCCTGGGTGACAGAGCAAGACTCTGTCTCAAAAAAAAAAAAAAAAAAAAAAAGAATGCCTTCCCATTTATTAAAATAGCTGAAGTATCAGTCAGGACCTTTTACCACATTTTTTCACCAGCATGTTCTCAGAATAGTTCTACAGAATAGTTGAAAACACAAAGAATGCGATCAATTGATATTTCTAGTACACACCAAACAAGAACATGTCTATGTTCTTGAATTAGGTTCCAAACAAGAAGATGAGAAAATTTCAATGCAAAGGTAAAAATTCCAAGCATCTTACCTTCATAACCTCTAGAGCATAAATTGTCTGCGGTTCCATAGATCTTCCACCTGCTCCATAAACCTGATCCCTTGTAGAGCATAACGTTCTTTTCTTGTCTATTGCCATAGTTAAAAAATAAATCTTCTCCTTTGATCCCCAAAAGTGTGTCATTTTTGCACTCCCATTTTTGAAATTCACTTTTTGCGTCGCAGGCATAGAGAGTGACAGGAACCCAGTCAGTTTTGGATGGCACTCCCAGGCATAATTTAAAGGCAACACTCATAATCTGAGACTCAGACACCCATCGGAATTTCTGTGATTCAGCATCCTGGTTACAAGCCGCAGTTTGGACTGCACTGGGATTTATTGCTTCCACACAGCGCCTGTGATCTTCATTGTAGATTAAAAACTGCCTGGTATCTGTTTAAAAAGAAAGAAGCAGGAAAGGAAAGAGAGGCAAGCATGGTTACGTGGATTTATATAACAAGGACAATACTTTAGGTCAAAAGTTTCCAACTCTTCCATTTCCCTAAAGACTTAGGATTATAGGAGAAAAGGTCACGATGACTGTCCCTAGGCCAGTTTTCTTTGAGGATCACTGAAGCTGGAGGGAGAACCTGGACTGAGGGCCTGCCAAGGTACCAGCACTCAGCTGGATGTCCCCAAAATGTCCTTGTTCACTATGAGGAGTCTCATGAAAAGGTCCACCTTACATGCCCAAGGATTGTCCAGGAGTGAACATACAAGGCAGATAACAGAGGGAATAATATCAACTGAGAAAAGAACATTTGGGTAATATGAATACGATAAACTGTAAAATCAAATGCATGTATGTCCTAGAAAAGGTGTTTGTTTGTTTCTTTGTTTTTGAAACGGAGTCTCACTCTGACACCAGGCTGGAGTGCAGCGGTGTGATCTCAGTTCACTGCAACCTCCACCTCTCAGGTTCAAGCGATTCTCCTGCCTCAGCCTCCGGAGTAGCTAGGACTACAGGAGCATGCCACCAAGCCCAACTAATTTTTGTATTTTTGGTAGAGATGGGGTTTCACAAAGTTGGCCAGGATGGTCTCGATCTCTTGACCTCGTGATCTGCCTACCTCGGACTCCCAAAGTGCTGGAATTAACAGGCGCGAGCCACAGCGCCCAGTCTGTCTGTTGTTTTTAAGGGACAAGTTCTCACCCTGTTGCTCAGGCTGGAATGTAGTGGTGCAATCATGGCTCACTGCAGCTTCTAACTTCTGGGCTCAAGCGATCCTCCTGCCTCAGCCTCCCAAGTAGCTGGGACTGCAGGCTTGCACTACCATACCCAACTAATTTTTTATTTTTTGTAGAGATAGAGCCTCACTGTGCTGCCCTGGCTCATCTCAAATTCCTAGCTTCAAGAAATCCTCCCACTTCGGCCTCTCAAAGAACTAGGATCACAAGTGAGAGCTACCTCGCCAGGACTAGAATAGGATTTTGAAGTGTGATACATCTCAACACCCTTTGAGATACAGAGGTGAAACCTACATATAATTACTCTCATTATAAATAACACTAGGGGTTTATTTTTTTAATTTTAAGAATATTTTTACTTTAGATAATATTACCATCATTTTATGTCCTACCAATTTTTGAATTAAATGCTTTCTAGTTAGTCCAGGTCAGGGCAACTCGACAAGTTTTTTTGTTTTATTTTGTTTGGCCTTCCAACAATAGGTATCTTAGAGATGCACCTAGAGATAAATGAGTATTCATCATATTATGTTAACTTTCATCTCTTTGGCATACTTAATCTAAACTTTGTATAACAATACCGAAATGTGTTTAAAAGTTTAATAGTGAAGTTTGCAATAAAGAATAAATAAATGTAAGTTTTATATCATTGGAGATAATATTTTATGAGTGTAACTTTAAAAATAACACTTTTATATTTGTAATTTGGAACTGGTGATTTAAGTAAATATGTAAAGATGACTTAACAGCACATAGCTGCTAGCTGGCAAAACGGAACTTCCTCTTGCAAAAGAGGAAAAAGGATCTGGTAAGCATTTTTTTTTCCTTTAAATCAAAATTGAATTCATGTAAAGTTTTCCTTTTTTATTTGTAAGGAATATAGAAATGAAAGTAACTGAGGGCTTTAATTTCATGATATAAACATAAATTCAACTCATCTTGTGAAGTTTTCCTCAATTCCATGTACTCACCTTGTTCTTTCCAAATGATCTGGTATTAGTACAGATGTCTGAGGTTCTGACTAAATGAGCTCATTATTTTTAATTAAATAATTCCAGTGAAATCAAACAAAGTTACAATCATGCCACCAGTAGAATCCTTCAGTGTTTCCAAAGCATTCTCACAAGCCATACTCTATTTTCTGTTCTGAATGCCTCAGTGAGGTCAGCACCACTTGTACTCTGAGATCAGTCCTAGGCCCATAAACTTAAAGCTTATAATAAATATTTGCATCAAAAGATTGTTCTCCTGATATGCTCTTGTCCACACTAGCTCCCTACCTCCTGCCTCTATCCTACCTGCGTTCCTAGTTCTTTGCAACTTCAAACCTCTGCCTGGTCTTCTCTACAGGGTTTCTCATTCGCACTGCTTTGATTTCTTGGAATCAGAACTCAGTAAAGGCTGGACCCAGACACCTGCCTTCGCTGCTTCTGTGAAGTTGACATCTGTCCACTGAACACACAATACCTGTTCCAATCTCCTCCTGTTTAGCTGAGCTTCTTTCACACTTGATCTCATCTTGTAACTGGTTATATGCTAGTGGGACAAAATGAGTAATTTTCTGCCTTTTTTTTTTTTTTTTTTTACCCTGGACTTATCTTCCACTTTTCAGATAGCTTTGCTTAGTAATACCTCATTGTTAATAATAATAAACATATCTTCCACCTTATACTTTGGCAATTTTCATTGTATTGTCAAGCAACAGTCTTATTAACTGGTCAAATTCAGTCAATTCACCAGTTGGTAACCAGTTTTTTAAAAGAAGGCATTCAAGGCTGGGCTCAGTGGCTCACATCTATAATCCCAGCACTTTGGGGGGCCGAGGTGGGTGGATCACGAGGTCAGGAGTTCACAACCAGTCTGGCCAACATGGTGAAACCCCGTCTCTACTAAAGATACAAAAAATTAGCTGTAATCCTAGCTACTTGGGAGGCTGTGGCAGGAGACTTGCTTGAACCCAGGAGGCAGAGGTTGCAGTGAGCCAAGTTCACACCATTGCACTCCAGCCTGGGCGACAGGGCAAGATTCTGGGCGACAGGGTAAGATTCCGTCTCAAAAAAAAAAAAAAAAAAAAAAAAGACAAGGCGTTCAAAATTCTTTATGAATGAATAGTGTTCCTCCTTCCGATGTTTTTATACTTATTTGACTTTTACATGCCTACTTTTTATCTGCAGTCCATCTTAATTTCACTCTAAGGAAGACAGCATTTAATGAGCAACATCCAAACTTCTTTCTCATTCTTGGCACCACCATGCCCCAAAATCCATAAGCTAAAAACCTAGGAATATTCCTGGATTTTCAGCTTGTTTTTGCATTCTAAGACAATAGTGAAATCTACCGGCTCTACCCAAACATACACTGCAGTGGTTAATTTTATGTGTCAGCATGACTGGGTCTTGGCACTCAGATATTCGATCAAGCACCAGACTGGATATTGCTATGAAGGTGATTTTTTTAAAGATGAGATAATCATTTTAATCGGCCAACTTTGAGTAAAGCAGCTCACAGGTCTCAATGTGGGTGGGCCTCCTCCAATCAGGTGAAGGTCTTAAGAAAAAAACTGAGCAAGAAGAAGGGGGAATTCCCCAAAGAAGGAATTCTGCTTCTGGACTGTTTTATTTTTGTTTTTGTTTGTTCATTTGTTTTTGAGACAGGATCCTGCTCCGTCGCCCAAGTTGGAGTGAAGTGGTGCAATCACAGCTCACTGCAGCCTTGAATTCTTGGGCTCAAGCGATCCTCCCACCTCAGCCTCCCGAGTAGCTGGGACTACAGACCTGTACCACCATGCCCAGCTAATATTTTTATTTTTAGTAGAGACAAAAGTCTCACTTTATTGCCTAGGTTGGTCTCAAACTCCTGGGCTCAAGTGATTCTCCCACCTCAACCTTCCAAAGTGCTGAGATTACAGGCATGGGCCACCTTACCCAGCTCTAGGCTGCTTTAGACTCAAACTGCAATATCAACTCTCTCGTGAGTTTCCCCCTACCCCTTTACCCTTGCAGGGTTTGGACTTGCCAGCTTCTACAAATGTGTGAGCCACGTTCTTAAATACCTCTCTCTCACCACCCTCTTGTCTCCCCTTTCTGTAGATATACACACAGAGATAACTCTAACTCTTATATACACCCTAATTCATTCTCTTTTGTCCAACTCCATTTTTACCAAACCAAGCCACCGTGGGTTGGCTCTAGTGCACCTCTCTTGAAAATGGAGTCATCAAAAAAGATAACACCTGATCTCCCAATTTTTTGGGAGGAGCCAGGCCTGACTTACCACCTGATGCCAAATTGCAAAACCTGCCTAATATGGTGGTCTTCACTGAGCTACTAAAAGAGTGAGTTTTCTTTCTGTTTTCACCATCACTTTTGCAGATTGTCTATGATGTACACCACATTGTGGCTGAATGCTCACTCAATAAGAAAATCCTTTTCTTTCTCATCTACCTTTATGGAGAGGTTTTCAGGGTGGGAAGGAGATTTGGTTTCTAACCACAAGTCCGCAACAACTTCAACCCTGCAAAAGGATACCAGGGTACCTAGGAAAAATACATCAAGCTTCTCTATTATTGCCTATTAGAAAAGACATGATTCAGACCAGTGACCTGTCTGCCATCCTCACCAACTATACACCCTTCAGGTCCTCAAACCCTCCAGGCTCACTTCCACATTAGTAACTTCATGTTTTGAGTTCCTTCTTCTTGGGATGCCCACTAAGGTCACAGCTCAAGTGTCAACTTTTGTTTTCTTTTCTATTTTATTTTTTTGAGACAGAACCTTGCTCTGTCACCCAGGTTGGAGTGCAGTGGTGCCATCTTGGCTCACTGCAACTTCCGGAGCTCAAACAATTCTCCTGCCTCAGCCTCCCGAGTAGCTGGGATTACAGGTGCATGCCATCATAGCCAGCTAATTTTTGTATTTTTACTAGAGATGGAATTTCACCATGTTGGCCAGGCTGGTCTTGCACTCCTGACCTCAAGTAATCTGCCCCACTCAGCCTCCCAAAGTGCCAGGACTGCAGATGCGAGCCACCATGCCCAGCCAAGGGTCAGCATCTTAGCAGGCTAACCATCTTAACTCATTTTATTCTTTTATTTTTATCCTTTTATTTACCATATAATATCCATAAACCTCTTAAAATATATTATTCTTCTTTAATTTGTTTTGTTTGTTTGCGCTTTTGTTTTGAAACGGGGTTGCACTGTGTTGGCCAGGATGGTCTTGATCTCCTGACCTCAGGTGGTCCATCCACCTCGGCCTCCCAAAGTGCTGGGATTACAGGCGTGAGACACTTGCCTGGCCCTTTAATTTGTTTACTTGTGTTCTGTCCATATTCCTCTACTAGAATGTAAATTTCATGAGAAGGGAAGCTTGATATTTCTGATTTAGAGCTGCAATCTCTCTTTGGGGAGCATAAATAATCTCTCAATAAATAATTAGTTGAATGAATGAAAGTATTTACTAAATCGGAAGCATCTTGACTAGTAACCCAGATAAATTATTTATTTAATAATAGATTAATGATTACATGTGTATTGAATATTTGTTTTTCCCCAAAAAGCTTATTTTTACTGAAGAGTAATTTAGAAATGTGTATACTTATGAAAAGTGTACTTAGAAATGAAAAGGTTCTATTTCAATACCTACTTATCTATTCTTGTTTCCTTTATTTATCTTCTGCCTTTGGGAAGCAGTGGTAAGTTTGATATTGGCTTTGCCAGACAATACAAGGAAATGTAAAATTATCACGCTATGGTGATACGTTCATAGTGCGTTATTCTTCTCCCCAAGTAATCAGCATGACGTTTTGCTTTAACATCATCTCTGCAACATGTCTGATTTAAAATGTCATACTTTTTCCTCTGAAGACATATTCAAGATGTTGGCCAAAGGACAGCTTGTGACATTTTTACCAGTATTAACCACACTAACATTTATAAACATCCTATTTTTGTCCATACTAATTATGTTTTTATAATAGAAATTTGGCAAAGATTAACGGATGGACACGGCTAGGTTGCTGTTTTCATTTCTCTGCAATCTTATTTGTAGGATCTAATATGTGAGTTTCTTTTTTTTTAATGGTTACACATCAGAAATTGATTTCCAGAATTGCAGCAATTCTCCTTCCATCCTAACTTGATCTTACTAATCTCAAATTTATTTTTCAACAAATATTTGACAGACATTGACCACATGCTAGACACTATGCAAATGAGAATACAAAGACAAAAGAAAGAGGGAAGCTTTCCGGCCACACTGAGCACTCTCTGCTGTAGTTAACTCAGGGGCAAAAACATCAAGGGCAAAAAATATCAAAATACATGTAGTAAAGAAGCAGTAAGTTTCAACCCAATATCTCAGGTTAAAAATGATTGAAGACTAAACATCCAGTAGCCTAGGGGTAGATTTTCTTTTCTTTTCTTCTTGAGATAGAGTCTCACTCTTTCACTCACGCTGGAATACAAAGGCACAATCTCAGCTCGCTGCAACCTCTTCCCCCGAGGTTCAAGCAATTCTCGTGCCTCAGCCTCCTGAGTAGCTGGGACTACAGGCATCTGCCACCACACCTGCATAATTTTTGTATTTTTAGTAGAGACAGGGTTTTACCATGTTGGCCAGGCTGGTGTTGAACTCCTAATCTTAAGTGATCCACCTGCCTCAGCCTCTCAAAGTACCGGGATTACAGGTGTAAGCCACCGTGCCTGGCCTGGATTTCCTTTTAAGCATTTTTAAAATTACAGCACAACATTGAGCAAGTCATTAAATTCCCAAGCCTACTAGCAAAGAAAATTCGGTTATGAAAGGGGCTCGTTTAGGGACATAAGTACGATGCGCTACATTTTCTTCTACATTTTTAGATTTTTCCATCAGCAAATAAAATGCTGACATTAAAACATAAACGACACTAACTTCTGGAAGACAGAGGAGCCGGAGGAGAGGAAAAGCAGCAAGTAGCGGTGGCAGATGCCACCAGCATTGTACTATTTTCCTCGGCCTTCGCTGAGTGGGGCACGCAGGCCCCACTTCAAAAGGTGGCACCATGTCTCTTGGCCTGGGGGCTTTTCTTGGCTATCCAAGCTCTCTAGGCTAAAACGTGGCACAAATTAGATGGGTCAGAAAAGTAATGTCCTGTACAAGGGGGCCTTTATCACAGACCAAGGAGAACTGCTGGAGGCTCTAAATCTCTTGCACCTTGAGTGGGATGAGTTTGAGGCACCCACTCCACACCATCACCCAGAGCTCTGAAGCTCCATTGCCCACAGCTGTCACTGGCTGTCCACACACCTTCCCTTTCTCTCTCACTTCCCCATTCCCCTGCCAGTGTTTCCTGGACTCACTTCCCAAATAAACTAACTTGCCCTCAAGCCAGAGTGCAACTGTCCAAGGACAGCTTCTTGGGGAACCCAAACTAAGAAATATGTTCACCAGCCTCAGTTAAATAAATGTGCATATGTTTTCCCCAAAGACCCCAAATTACGTGAAAAATGAATATTTACCCTGCACCTAGTCCATTCAAGAAGCTGTGCCAGGTGCTGAGAACAGCTGGGGGCTGTCAGTCAGAGCTTAAGCTTAAAAATGTTAAACAAGAGGCCAGGGCGGGAGGATCACCCGAGATCAGGAGTTCAAGACCAGCCTGGCCAACATGGCGAAACCCCATCTCTACTAAAAATACAAAAATTAGCCAATGTGGTGGCACACACCTGTAATCCCAGCTACAGTCGGGATTGAGGCAGGAGAATCACTTGAATCCACGTGGCGAAGGTTGCAGTGAGCTGAGACCACACCACTGCACTCCTGCCTGGGTAACAGAGCGAGGCATCATCTCAAAGAGAGAGAGAGAGAAAGGAATGTTGAACGAAAGAAAAAAAAAAAAAAGGAGAATTACTTCATTTGTTACTCTGATCCTTCATTCATACCCAAAATATTCAGGGAATATATTGATTTAAGTGATTGCATTTGGTCATTTGGAAAAATACAAAATATGAACCCCAGGTGAGTCTGACTGCAAGGAGAGAAGAGAGGCCAAGAAACTCTTCCAACTTCCCTCCTACCTCCTTAAAGATACGAATATCTACACTTTTCTGGGGCCATTCACTCCCGTGTCGGTTGAAGAGGCTTCCATCCTCCTGCTGACTGCCCTACCTGTGTCCTGGATTCTGAATCCTCCTACCTCTCCACCACCTGGTTTCTCCTCTCACTCCTATTTCTTCAGCCTCGGAATGCTAGCCTCCCCAGATACTCCTAAAGATAAATAAATAACACCCTTTACTAGGTAAGAAGCTGGCGCTACACGGGTCTTTCTTCTTCCAAGCAGAGGCCCACTAACTAATTAGTTCACCCCATATATGTATCGCGTCAGTCTGATCATGACATAATCAGAGCTCTAGGGTTTGGCTCCCAGGTAACAGATTCCGCTGCTCACTGGCTGCGTGACCTTGGCCAAGTTCAACACTACTCTGTGCTTCCTTTTCCCCATCCATAAAATAAAGGGGGAAATAGCAGGAGCTCCTCATCATCATGAGAATGAAATGAGATCATCTAAACAAAGTGCTGAGAAGAGTTCCCGACACAGGAATCGCTTAATACGTGTTCCTTATTATTATTACTGTTAACTTGGCAAAATCAGTCGTACAGTGTGAGATGTTTCAGAATAGGATGAAATGAGAGAGTGGAGAACTGTCCCAGCAGTCTAGAAAGGGGGACCAGCCAGGCACAGTAGCACACACCTGTAATCCCAGCACTTTGGGAGGGCTAGGCAGGTGGATCAACAGAGGTCAGGAGTTCGAGACCAGCCTGGACAGCATGACGAAACCCGTCTCTACCAAAAATGCAAAAATGAGCAGGGCATGGTGGCGCAAGCCTGTAATCCCAGCTACTCAGGAGGCTAAGGCAGGAGAATCACTTGAAACCAGGAAGCGGAGATTGCAGTGAGCCAAGATCGCGCCATTGCACTCCAGCCTGGGCAACAGAGCAAGACTCTGCCTCAAAAATAAAAGGGGACAGAAGGACAGAGAACCCTGAATCCCTGGGTTTCCAGCCTCACAAGCTGGTGGTGTGGTGCACAGGGTTATGTTCTTTGGGGCTGATAGACTCTCAATCAAATCCTGGTTCCGCCATTTTTTAGCTGTGTGGCCTTAGTAGTATTCGCCATGCTAGCCTCCACTTCCTCATCTGTAAAGTGGGGATAATAATGCTATCTGGTAAAGCCACCATAAACTTCTAAATGAGATCATTTATGTAAAGCACCCAGCATATCATGTGCATATAATACACACTTGATAAATACTAATTCCCTCCTTTCCCCCTCCTGAAGTGAAAAGTCTAAAAAAAAATTGATACAGAAAAAGGGATCTAAGTCCTTCTGGAACACAGTGTTATTTGAACCACATTTATATCTTCCCTGATCAACACACTCCAGCTAGTAAATTATGTCTACTTCTTAGCCTCAGAGTCTGAAGAGCATAATGAAGAGTTAGCTCTGGTCCTTACTGGCAACCTGACTTTTGCAAGCCCCTTCATCTTCAAGTTTCAGCTTTCTCACCTAGGAAAAGGCACACAGTGACACCTTCCCATCTGCTTTATAGGAAGTTATGGGCCCCTGAGGTCTCAGTTTCTACTACAGTTATTCACGTGCAATATTTATAGATTAAACCAGAAGTTACACAACTGTCAAAATCTAGGGTCAAGCACTGTGGCTCACGCCTGTAATCCCAGCACTTTGGGAGGCCAAAGTAAGCAAATCCCTTAAGCCCAGGAGTTAAAGACCAACCAGGCCAAGATGGTGAAACCCCATCTCTACTAAAAATACAAAAAAATTAGCAGGGTATGGTGGCAGGCACCTGTAATCCCAGCCACTCAGGAGGTTGAAGCAGAGAATTGCTTGAACCCAGGAGGCGGAGGTTTCAGTGAGCCGAGATGGTGCCACTGCACTCAAGCCTGGGCGACAGAGCAAGACACCATCTCAAAAAAAAAAAAAAAAAAGCAAAAATTAGCCAGGCCTGGTGGCATGCACCTGTGGCTCCAACTACTTAGGAGGCTCAGGCGAGAGAATCATTTGAGCCTGGGAGGTCAAGGCTGCAGTGAGCCATGATCATGCCACTGCAATCCAGCCTGGGTGACAGAGTGAGACCCTGTCTCAAAAAAAAAAACTAATCTAGCTTTATGTTCCAAAGCATAAAAGTTAGCTCAGCCTTCTAGATAAAAACACTGAGAAAGATGGAGTACAAATTTAAAAAGGAGAAAGCTGCTTGTATTTTTCTCCCACTTAATTCAGTTTTGTGAAAAATAAATACATTGAAGAATCAGGATTTTACTTAAGACATACATTTATATTGGAATCAAAGTTTTCAAGAGTGATTGTGAAAACCGCTACTATGATAATTACATGATAACAATGATCTTTCTCAGCATTTCAATGAGGGAAGTGAAATAGACGTATATCAGGATTATACCTTTAGTGTGATGTCAATGTCAGAAACACAGCTGGATCCCTTCCAGCCAAATGTGAGCCCCCAAGATGGCAACAGGAATAACCTAATTTGCACTTACTTGATCTAATAACGCGGCAAGAAATCTAAGCAGAGGTGGGAAAGTACAAGTCGCTGGGCAGAGGCCTGGATCTACCTCCACCTGCTCTCCAGTCACCTTCTGGACATTTTACCTCCCTGAGCCTGTGCTTCATCTATGAAATGATGACGTCAATGATGCATCATTTCCAAGTTCTTTCTTGCTTTAATGCTCCACGGCTCTAGGGCTTCTCTGTCCGCCAAGACGTCTCTCATTTTCATTTTTTGCAGATGTTCTAGGCTTTGCATGACACCTGGCCTGCTGTTTGAACTGCCTTCCCAGAGCCTAGAAAGGCTCCATATTGACCTGGGCCCAATGGCAGCAGCTAGTAAGAGCCTATCATTGGCCTCTCTTCCAACTCTGCCCCCAGTGGTATCAAGTCGGCAGTTTGAAATCAACCATGGTGGGAATATTTACAATACGGAAATCAGTAAACATCATAAATCAAATCAGTGCTTCCTTTATTTTCTTTCTTGGAACCAGTAGTTAAGTTTACCAATACACCACTACCTGTGAGCCAAACCCTCCCGTTTCCAAGTTAAATGTCTTTGCTGTGGTGTAACCTCTGTGTCCACTGGCTCTCATGGTACCTCTACCGAGATGATAACTCAACTGAGCTCTAAACGTTGGTGCTGAGTGCTAAAAAGACAGCACAGCAAGAACAACAGTAGGAAGAGTGAGAAGCTAGCCCTGTTACGCTCTAGCCTCCTGGAACCCTCCAGGTAGAACCAGCCCATCTGTTGGCAGCTGTCCACAGAGACTTATGGTGCTAACGCTGTGGGATGCTCTCCCGAAGGTGGAAGGAAGGGTTTTGAGTTGAAAGTAAATAAACCAACTGCAAGTAGGGAGACCTTCCCATGGATTTTCTACGGGGCGGGAAGCAAGGGGAGAGGTCATGAGGCTTCGCATACCTTTAACCTGCTGCTAAGCAGGTGCTCTGCCTTTACACAGATTCCTCTAATCACACACTTCTTGGGCCAAGAAGAGATAAAATAAGAGTTACAGGCTGGGTGTGGTGGCTCGAATCTATAATCCTGCACTATGGGAGGCCAAGGTGGGAGGATAATCAGAGCCCAGAAATTTGAGATGGGCCTGAGCAAGATAGTGAGGCCCTGTCTCTATAAAACAAAAGAAACAAACAAATAAACCTTTTTCTTTTTTTAATTAGCCTGGCATGGTGGCTCATGCCTGAAGTTCCAGCTACTGGGGAGTTGGGAGGGGGCTGAGGTGGGAGGATGGCAGGAGCCCAGATGTCGA